CAACTGCAATCTGCGTTTCACCTGCGAAGCGTCACCGATGGGCCACGACCTCTCCAAGCAGGCGAATCGGCTCTCGATCGCCGCCGTCTCCCACATCACGCAGTGTATTACGTCCTGTCTCTTAACGTCGCGGAGTGCGTTTCTTAGTCGACCGCGACGACCTCCTCGAGCTCCGCACGTGCTTTGAAAACGCGATTTTGGCCAAGAGCCCCAAGTCGAAGAAGCCGATTCCGCTCTCGGCGTACGCGGCCGCCAAGGACCGCGTCGAGCCGAATTTGACGCGCGCCGACTTTAACGCGGGCCTCGACCACGTGAACTTCTTTGTACGGCACGCCATCATCATCCGTTGCACGCTGACGTGGATCTAGGAGTCGGACCGCGCGATCCTCGACCGCCTCTTTACGATGCTCGACAAGACGGGCGACGACGTGATCCACTACCAAGAGTTCCTCGTCGGCGTCGCGCCGCTCGTCAAAGGTGCCACCGCTCTCTCTGCAAAAAAGGCGTTGAACGCATCCATGGCGTAGGCAACCTCTTGTCCAAGATTGCGCGTAGTATCCTGCGTCGATGCAACCGAGGTTAATGCAACTCGTGTGCGATATAGTGGCTTTCGAAATGTACGACGAAGACAGCACCGGGTAAACGATGGTTGCGACTGAACGTTCTATCTTCTTGACACGATGGCGGTAGAGAGATCAACGCCAAGGGCTTTCGGTTCCTTCTGACGACGATTTCAACGGTCGGGTCCTACTTTGGCGATCCAGTCCTCTCCAAGAAGGGCATTATTGTGCTCACCAACGACATCTTTGACAACTACGACACGATCGAGTATACGAGTGAGCGCATGGGTGGTCGCGGGATGCTAACGAGACGGATGTGGCTAGAGAACATCCCGCGCATCGCCCAGCACGCCATCATCGAGGCGTATGTAGCCCAAGAAGGCGCTTTGTAAGAAGCACTATCACATGCATGGTGTATTATGATCGTGCCACGAGCTGTCTTTAAGCGACGCCGACTGGAGGTGAGCGCTCAGCACGCGCTGCTTCTTCTTGAGCAGCTCGATGCGATTGGGGACGAGGCGCGCCGATGTACAGCCCAGCTCTAAGCCGACGACAAGGCCCGTGCGTGGCACGGACGGCGGTGTACGCTGGCGACGAGGCAGCACCGGGAGGCTACTCACATTGCGGAGGCGCTGTCCCTACCATTGACGCATAGCACCAGCTGAAAGATAGGAAGATTGCTACAATACCCGTTCCATGGCAGGTACCTGAAGCGTCTGACGGCTCGGCGACGCTTGGAGCGGCATCCGGTGGGGCTCAATGCGGGGCTAGGACCATGCATGGCACCTCGCACGTGTAAGGATATATGGTAAGGTACGTGAAGGCGTTGCGGGCTCTCGGTCAAAATCGGCTGCAGTTGCCGCCGTTGAAACTCATGTCGGAGCTCGTTGATGTCGTCCATGCACCGATGAGGCGTCGACACCTCGTCGTCGTCGAGTAGGGTCTCGTCCGTGGCGTCAAAATGGCTCACGTCAATGACGCGGTCGTCGTCACCGTGCGGATCGTGCAACCACCGGTTCTTGGAGACGGCGAGGCGACCGCCAATCACGGCAAACTCGAGGTGCTCCATGTCTGGCGACTCGCGCTTCTCCAGTTGCCACTCGGTGTCGTGGCGCTGCGTCATCGAGACACCAGTGTACTCGGTCCCGTACTTGACAGGGCTCGTCCGAGGCAGCAGGTGGAAGCCCTGCGGCTCCAGCACGTACGTAGAGAGAGACCGCCTACGCCATCATGCGAGAGAAGAAGACATGGCATCGCGCACCGGTGGCTGTCCTCATCCAAGCATTCGTGCTGCGGCTTGTCGGTGGCGACCGGACTACTGTTGGAGGCCATCAACGACCGGTGAACTGCCGTTGCTTTGGATGGATCCACGGGCTTGCCCGCGAGCCCTCGCGCCATCGTCCGAGCATCGTCGAGGCATTCGTGCGAGCGAATGCCGAGATGACTTGATGGTAGTGCGTGATGTTGCTGGTTGCTGCTGCTGGCTTGGAGCTTATTGCGCTGGTCACTCGGGTGCGCCCTGTTGCTCCGCTTACCGTCGCCCGTCACCAGCTGCAGGAGGTCGTCCCCCGCACCCATCGCTGAGCCACGGGCCGATGCGAATGCACTTGTCGTCGATGCGGCGGCGGTCACTGAGATCTTGGAGGCACTCCCCAGGGTGCGAACCAACTCTCCGGACGCGTGAGCGTCATTGCTGAACCGGGTGCTCGTCGTGTGGTGGTCTTGGCCAGCGTGCAGCGATGAGCCCGTCGGCTCAGACGACGACACAGCTTGCGCGTCGGACGCCGAGGAGAGGACGTCACTTCTGGCGGCAGTCGAAAACACCGACGTCGTAGCAGTGACATGACCGCTGGGTGCGGCGTTGCTACCTGCGTTGGCGCCCGCTGTCGCTGCTTCTGTCGTGCCTCCGGGAGGATGAAGCGAGGCAGCTGTCGAGCTTGCGTGGCTACCAACGGAGCTGGCTCCAAAGGGTGCGAAGCCGCCAATCGCGTGCTCGTTGTTGGCAGCACCATTGGCGTGTTGGCCGTGGTGGGGTGAGAGACCGTGCGACGGACGGTCGTCCTGCGCGCTCGCCGCGTCGTTCATGTCGGACGCAAGAAACGGAGCAATCAAGTTGGGGTTGCCGCTACGTGCTGGGCTCGGCGTCGCCGCCGCGGTCGAAGCGAGGCCGTGGGCACGCGGTGGCTCATCGTGTGCCATACTCCCAGACACATCGTCGCCGTTAAAGCCCATTTCTTGGCTGTTTGCCAGCACGTTTCGCTCGCCTGACTCGGCTTGCACGTAGGTGCTTGTC